TTGAGTCAAAAACATCACTGCCATCTCTCAAGACATTTCCAAACCTCCACTGATCATCAGGTCCTACTGCCTTCCCCTTCTTTATTCTTTTCAGAGCTTTCCGGACTTCACCCTCACTAATCTTTCCCACTTCCTGGTCCACAGTTTCTATGACCTCTACTCTTCTTTCTCTTTCATTCTCTTCATTCATTAGCTCCTCAAAGTTCTCCTTCCATCTTCCCATCACACTCTCCTCACTTGTTAGAACATTACCATTCCTATCTTTAATAAGCCTAACCTGCTGCACATCCTTTCCAGCCTGACCCCTCTGTCTTGCCAATCGGTACAAGTCCTTCTCGTCCTCTTTAGTGTCCAGTCTCCCATACAACTCAACATACGCATTCTGCTTTGCCTTAGCTACCTCCCTCTTTGCTCTACATCCCATCTCCTTATTCTTGTCTCCTCTCTTCAGTCCTCTCTGTCATATTTCTTCTTGGCTAACCTCTTTCTTTGAACAGCTTCTTGCACTTCACTATTCCACCACCAGGTTTCCTGATCATCCATTCTCTGTCCAGATGACACACCAAGTACCTTCCTACCTGTCTCTCTAATTTCTGTTGCTGTAGTAGTCCAGTCATCTGGAAGCTCTTTCTTACCACCCAGAGCCTTTACCCAGTTGCCCATATGGTTTATCCGACCTTGGTCATACCATCTTTAATTAAAGCTCATATGAAATAAGTAGAGTGCATTCAAATGAATAAAACAAATACAAAAAATATATAAAACTAGATCAATACAGTACAAAAACAGTGCTGAAGCAGTAAAGTTTAACCAATGTTTGTCTTAAAAAAACAACTATCCTATACATAAAAACAACTACTATACAATCAGTTGTGTGTCATAAAAATAAGTTCATGTCTGCCTTTAAAATATAAAATGAGCAAATAAATAAAAAATAAAAATAGCAGGTTCAAGTATCTCGGATACAGCTTCAGAAGTATTGTGTACTCTGTGCCGGTCCATTGTGGTGAAGAGGGAGCTGAGCTGTAAAGTGAAGCTCTCTGATTACCTGTAGGTCTATATTCCTATCCTCACCTATGCTCGCAAACTTTTTGTAGTGACCGAAATAATGAGATTGTGGATACAAGTGGTCAAAAAAAGATTTCTCTGCAGGCGAACTGGACTCTCCCTTCATTCAGAGAATCTAACAAAGTAAAATGTCAGGTCTGGACAGATTATTTTTGTTGAAACGTTTTGTCATTCCTTATGTTGCAGGAGTTTCAGAGAAATTGAGACGTTTATTTTCTACTGGTTCATCCCAAAGATCCAGTCTCCCGGCACAAACTGAGTAATGTTGTGTATGCCGTTCAGTGTCAGGAGGGTGATCAGTCTTACCTCGGACTAAACAGCCACTGGCCAAAAGGATGGACCAGCACAGAAGATCAACATCATCAGGCCAGGATTCTGAGGTCTACACTCATCTCCAGGCCAGCGGTCACTCTTTCAGGGATGAAGATGTTCACATCCTGGACAGAGAGGAACGATGGTTTGAGAGAGGAGTAAAGGAGGCCATCTTTGTGAAAAGAAACCGTCCATCATTAAACAGGGGTGGAGCCTCCGGGTTCAATTGTCCCCCTCTTACAATGCTGTGATTGCTAGTATCACTCAGCCCTCTGTGAACAGTAAACAGCCATCAGGTGCTAATGATCCATTGTTAGGCTGATTGAAGTCTTCTGGATAAAAGACGAAACGCTTCAACAAGAAGAATCCGCCCAGAGGACCCGACTTTGCATTTTTATATTTTTCTACCTGGATTATTGAGCAGCATGAGGAAATTCATTCAGAGACGTTGAAGAGTTGACCTTTGAGGTTTAGCAGATGTGACCCTTGTTATGAGATAAACTGCAATATTATGTTCCCACACAGATTTAACCCTTCTACTGTAGCGAGTCACCAGTTCTGCTCTTCGACATTAAAATCACAGTTTCTCACTGAACATCACGCGATGACACGATTGTTTCTGCTTTGGGATAAGAAACTGCACGAGATGAGAGGGTTCTTATCTGGGCAGACGCAGTGATAGATGGCTGAGGGAAAAAGAAAAATAATCTTTAAAAAATCTTATCTGACAGTGAGAGAGCTGAAATCATCCCTCAAAGAGAAGTTTGAAAAGTTTAATATCCAATGTTGAATGTTCACATTCATTTCTGCTGCTCCTGCTGAGCCTCGTTCTCCTGAATATGATCACGTTTCATTATCCAGTCTTCCAACCAGCAGCAGGAGGAAATGACTTCTTCTGCATTTGGCCACTCTGTCTTTTCTGAAGTCCCTTTTCGGTTTTTATATCATTCAATGTAATTTTTTATTTATGAATTACAAATAGCTTGTGTGCGGTTGATGCAGATTCTTTTGCAGCATGAGGCGTGTCTGGGTTTATGAAATGAATGAAGCTGATGATGCTTTCTATATTTGTTTTCCATAAATCTTTAAAAAACAGAAATGATTTTTCCAAAAATTATTTGTTGTCCAAAGTCAGAGATGCTTAATATTGTGAAGAGTGAATTACCTGATGGTAATTTTAGGATCTAAGCCAGGTCAAACGTCTTCCTCTTTCTTGCTGAAGTTGTTTGTTTGTTTGTTTTTAAAGTTAAAATAAGCTGCATGAAACATTACTTCCTTTTCAGAGTCTATGACTCAAATTTGCAACGTGCAAATTTGTCTCAATCGTACAAGTTGTACAAACTCTAATAGGCAACAGATTTAATCCAATAATGAATTAACTCTTGAATGAACTCTAATGAACAAACGTTTTCTTTTTCATTTCTAATAGTGTTTTTTTAATGATACTAAATATTCCAAGATTTCAAACCAAGATTTTAGTTGGACTTTTTTCCACTATTATTTTACCCATCCATCCATCCATCCGTGCATCCATCCATCTGTGCATCCATCCATCCATCCGTCCGTGCATCTTTTTCTGCTTGTTCTGGAGTCAGGCCACTGGGTGGACATCTTGATCAGGATCATCTTTTTCCACATCCACCTCTTCCAGCTTTTCTTGGAGGTCCCACTCTGTTCCCACGACAACCGAGAGACACAGTCTCTCCAGCGTGTCACTTAAGTGTCTCTTCCCAGGAGCATCCTGACCTGATGAAGCACCTCCACTGGCTCCTCTGGATGTGGAGGAGCAGATGAAGCACCTCCACTGGCTCCTCTGGATGTGGAGGAGCAGATGATGCACCT